GTGTGTGTGTGTGTGTGTGTGTGCACAGGGTGGTGTAATGCATCAAGTGTGGCACCATTATGTTAGTGTTAAGGTGCAAGCATTATTTGCTTCCTCTCGCTTTCAGCTACCGCCGCTGGCTAGCCCTCGTCTTCCCTGGCCAATATACACATCCTCTTCACCACCAAGACTCTTGTTGTGCCTCCTCGTAACTGGGTGCCTCGTGGGCCCAGGCTAGATCAACAGGGGATCTCGGAGCAGCCATTCGCCCCAGAGGGACGGCGCATAGGCCTACTAGCATGTAGACATGGCGCCTGCCAACCACTGCCCCGCTGCCTTAGTAGGTACACTCGCAACAAAAAGTATCGGTGCATACTGTAGTGTGAACAATTTGAGACCAGTGACGATAGGTATTGGGAAAGGCGAGATATTCCAGCCGTATGTTGGCAGCCCTGATTGTCAGCCATATGGCAACACCTAGTGGAGGAGGGTGGGGGGGGGGTTATGAGGATACGCTTACCAACCTTCCCGACATATCAGTGTATATGTATCGTTTCGGAACTCGTCGATCTCACCCTGCACCAATACTTTTTGGTGCGAGTGTACAGTAGCTAAATCAACTATCTGTAAAGGTGGGGGTCAATATGCTCCGAAATTTTACGTGTGACTAGTGACAGCCCTCATATACCAAAATTTATCGTCCATGGTCTCATATTGTTTCCCACAAAGTATGCACAGATAGTTGTTTTAGCTACTGTACAAGGCTATGGGAGTAAACACCAAACGAAAAATCTATGGTGGAGCCCCAGAACAGACACAGCTGCTTACAGAGCGCAAGTAAGACCCTAAGGGGCTCTACGCATATGACACTTCCATCTCCTCACACCAAGTAGAATTCGAAAAGTATACGCCCATCCAACAATGTATGATGTGCTACAAATACAATGACCACATGACCAAGAACTACCCCCTGCAAGGGGTCGTAGCACCACCAAAAAGTGTGTCGTCTGTAAAGGTGACCTCAAGACTTCTGTGCCACCTGCCTGGTCAGGAAACAGGTAATTCAAGAAACAGAGAAGAAACTGAACGACATAACCAAGCAAAGAGAAACCAGGGAAATTTCTAACACCATGAAAAAGACCACTCAGTCGAAAATCGTAACTTACAGCCAAACCCTAAAGACGCTCTGAAAGCTACTCAAGCAGACTCGCAAAAATTCAACAATGTCAGCGAGACCATGGAAGTCCTGCAATCAGAGATACGAATTATCAAAGACTCAATAAAGCAGGTAGTTACTGAGTCACTGGGCGCCACGAGGGAGCAGTGGCCGAGAGCATCAGGAGCGTCTCCTCTCCACAGCTGGACGAGTCCAAAGCCACCACTATATACTTGTCTTACCTGCATGCCCATCACATGAACATGGTTCATCCAGGTTCATTCTCGAAACACCTCAACGAGACACTAGCCAGGAACAACATTGTACCTGTTGAAATAACCGACGACGTCCCTTCAAAAGAAATCCTGAAGGCAGTAACCCACTCAACGACTTTAGGACGACATCAACCCACGCCAGAAATGGACCATGACTTCCCTGACTTAGGCCAAAGTCAGCAAAACCGTAGCCCAGACGTGGCCAGTCAGTCCCCCTGATCGTACAGCTCCTCTAGCGACACCGTAAATCTCCGTGACCATAAGGCATGTGCCCCCGGCGACGACAGCGACCATCGGGCTACAACTATAGTCAATGGTTGCGATCAGGCAATGGTGACTTACTCCACACAGGAACAAGACCCTCGAGCTGTAGCGTCAGTAGAGGACTTCAACACGCAGACCCAGGACCTGAACATCTTCCTGTACACGGGTGACGGGAAGTTCGAGGGCCCACCATTAGCTGAAAGCAAAGATTTAAAGGTTCTGCTAAGAAGTTCCAGCCCCCTTGAAATGGCAGAAGCTGAGCAAACACTTCAAGCGACGCCCCAAGCTACAGTCGCCGAAATGGCGGTCATTAGCAGGATGAAAATTGTCCCACATAATGTCCTACACTGGTCCCGTAATAGGCGTAACGAACTGTCTAACTTATACTATCAATTAGACCCAGACATCATTCTGTTAAACAGTACTGGCATAAAGGAAGAAAGTAAGCTGAAAATTTTTGGCTACACTGTATACCAGAGGAACATGACGGGGGAGCTGAAAGATGGTTGTCGCTGTGGCCATCAGGTCACGGCTGAGTCACAGTGTTGCTAGACTTCGAGGATTCAGTTCTAGGGGTGCAGGTGAAGACCACCAGGGGGACCTGTTATCATATGCACGATGTACCTAGTACTACCTACCTCCTAAACGTCCTTATTTACCCGAACAAGACCTCAACCAGTTGCTGCACCAGAGAAAACCAACATACATCATAGGGTATTTAAATGCGCGCCACGCCATACTTGGACACGGTAATGAGAATAACGTCGGTATGGCGTTGTTTGACAACATCAGAAGGGGAAAACTGCAACACTACAGGCCAGATTTCCCGACATGATCAGACGTGCCAGTGTCACAACACCCAACATAATCCTCTCTGACAACGAGGCCGTCCTGAACAGGAACGTTACCGCCGGACCAATCAGTACCAGCGACCACCTACCAGTCGTAGTGACGCTCTCAAGGAGTCTTTCAGTCTCAAGCAGGGGAGAATCCTGGAAGAAGTCAACCCCAATGACATCGACGACCCGGTCGAACAATGATACGCTGATGTGAAGACGGAGTTGGACAACAACATCCCGACCACCACCCACAGGACCATTCCCCACCCTCACACTAGTCACCAGCCGAGGCAGCTCAGTGTCCAGTACGATCACCTGAGACAGCTAGCCAGTATCCGCGGCTGGACGCAAGAGCTGAGGAACCGGTACCGAGAGCTACAGACGGACATCCAGCACGAGAGCAAACGTCTACATGAACAAAAGTGGGCCGCCTTGGTGTAGGAGGCAACCAACAATTACCGCGATTCTGCTGCCTTTTGGAAAAGGATCAAGCGACTGATGGTTTCTACTTCTAACACGGTCCCTTACCTGCTTGACCAAAACAACGTGAAAATATTGAAGGAGGAAAACCAAGAACAACTACATCGGCGATATTTACGGAAAATCTTTACCATTAGTGACCAGGAGAACGAGGGCTTTGACAGGGCGTTTGAGGAGGACATGTTAGGTCAGTTGCAGGACCATCAGCACCTGCTCCAGCCGCTCGCACGGACTGATTTCACTAGACTGGTGGACTACAGCTACCTGACGGAGCGCATAGTTCTTGCAGATGTGTCATCCGCCATAAAAAGGTTTAAAAACAAATCACCAAGGCAAAGTCATATTAACAAGAAGATCCTGGACCAACTCCCCGACAACATGATAAAGAGGATTGCTCATATATGCAATGCCTGCCTCGCCTCTAGATACTTCCCTAAGATGTTCAAAATCGCCGTTATCCGCCTCATACCAAAAGCAGGGAAGCCTCCAAACAAAGTCGAATGTTCGACCAAACAATGTTCGACCAATATCGCTCCAAGCGGTACCTGCCAAAATCTTCGAAAAAATATTAAACAAGCGGTTACGGATGTATCTGGAGGACGAAGACGTGCATAATCCCCGCCAGTACCGGGGCACATCCACCGCCATAGCCCAGGCCTACGAGCAGGTCGCCAACACCATGACTGGCCGCCCACAGTGCAACGCAGTGCTGATAGACGCCAGCAAGGCGTCTGTCAAGGTTTGGCACGCTGGGCTGCAGTACAAGACCACATAACTGGAGCTACCCGAAAACCTGACGCGCTTGCTGTGCAACTTCATTACGGACCGCAAAGACAAAATCAAGATGCAAGAACATTGTGGAAAAGAATTCTCACTCTTGAGCAGCGTGCCTCAGAGCTCTTGTCTCTAACCAACCCTTTACACGCTCTACACGGCTGACGTGGCACCCCCAATCGTCGACAGGGAGTACGTCATGTATGGCGCGACTCACAAGTGTCTGAGGTCAGCCAGTGGCCAAGCGCCATCCTACCAGGAAACAGTGGAAACCATCCACCTGGAAAATAAAGTGGAGGCCCTCATCATTAGGTTCCATCGCCTAGGGAAGAAGGTTTTGGACAAGCTCCTGGACGACCCTCACAGCCCAGACCACCTACGCGGGGAAGACATCAACAAAGGGCGACCCCACGCCTGGTGGCCCCGGAGTCTGTCCGCATTTCAACAACCCATTCCGCGACCCATCTACTGTATGTCCGCCACAGTGATTCACCCTAGATTAAAACTTAGGTGACATAAGATCACATTTAACAAGTCACAACCTTACGAGTCCATAACGTAATACAGTAATAAGATTTTAATAAACATGTAATTGTAAAATCAGACTAATCATTTTCAACCAAAGTAACCATTGTGTAACATCATCCTAAATCCAAGGTTAGCTTAGTTAGTCAACATTCTCTGTAATATGTAAAACAAGGTGTGTCGTCCCCCTCTGTTTAACTCATTAAACTTCTTTTCCAACCTTTCCCCCCACGACTATATGTTGTGACTTCTCCATCCCTCATGTCTGGCTGTGCATTGAGCCCCAGCATGCCTTCCATCCTTTCCCCACCTTAACCTAAAAAAAAAATCAGGTTAGATTAACTTATAGTTTATGATAGGTTAGACAAAGTTAAGTCAGGTTAGGTTAGGTTAGGCTATAAATTGGGTCAGGTCAGGTCAGGCTAGGTTAGTACAGGTTAGTTTAGGTTAGAATTCTGAGAATTTTTTTTTATTGTAAGACTATCGTCTTAACACGCATAAAAATTATTGTGCTTTTAATTACCAGATATCTTCTGGGCTTAAGTTCTTTGACAAAAGTGAGCAGGACTAAGGCATTGAAGGAGAAGAACGTATAGGGCAAACATATAAGCTTTATGTGAACGTTCCCTGGTGTATTGCTCAAAAGACTGTTCTTTCTAAGTTATTTGTTTACATCAGATGCATTATTCCATCTTCTTGTTCTTGCAGGGTTGACCCCAAGGATGAGACGGCAGCTGCGGAGGAGGTGAAAGCGGCGCTCCTGAAGGCGGAGGGCGACGAAGAGACAGGAGAACCCGGGCAGGAGGGAGGAAGGGTAAGTGGTGAGGTAATTCATGAGCCTCAGTCAAGTGGGCAAAACGAGGCTCAGCCCACCATAGTGCTAACCGTACACGACCGTGACAGCACGCCCGACCCTCCTCCCCCTTCCCCAAGTCCCGGGTTACTCGTCGGCAATGACGATCTTGAATTTATTGACTCTGATGCGGAGACTGATGACAGAGTTGTCGAAGCCATTGGACCAGATGTGGAGTATAGTGATCAATGGTTCGACGCCCGTGGAACGCTCACTCGTTCCAAGGAAAATCTGGTTCGTAACATCGACGATTATGACGAATGCCGCGTCAGTAAATATTATGACGCAGCTGATGAAACGGCTCCTCGACCAGCCGAAGAGTTGACAGGGGCGGAGACCACTGACATTAGGGAGGAGAGAGGCTCAATCAAAGCTCGTGAATGGGTGCAGAGCTTCAATGAGGAGGCAGATCCGCGAGTAGAGCGTTGGATGAGGATGCAAAAAGCTAGAGATCCATCTAGTCTTCCAAAGAGCAGATCTGAAATTCGTCTTGATCGTATCGAAGACCCACCCGGGAAGTGGTCCGCCCGGGACGAAATCCAGCTTAATGCCACCGAGGGAGATGGGGACTACGCTAGTTACCTCCGACGAGAATATAACGCAGATGTCAAAATAAAAGAGAATAAACAACAAAAGGCTAACGAAAAGGAGAAGATGTCTCGCAGAGAAAGTCTGAAGAAGATATTCCACGTGCGAGGAAAGTTGTCCATCAAGCCTATCGTAGATTCACAGCGGCCATCATACACAGATACAGACATCTATATAGCTTCAGCTCCTTACGCTCTTGCGAACACCACAGACACCAGACAGGCCGATGGAGAGTCCCTTGATGTGTCTGAAGATGGAATCAACTGTAATTCCATCGACCTCGATCCCACTATGGAAGCGAGTCACCCTTCACTAGATCCGAGACAAGAAGATAGTAAGGAGTCAATGTCAAATTGTAAACCCACAACTATTCCAGACATTGTGATCGACTCTCCGGGGGTGAACGAAAGGAGAGTGGAGTTCCTAACACAAAAAGTTGGGAAGGAGAGTCTGGAGGAGGACTATGCTGCTGTAACCCAATCAGAAAATACCGTCTCAGAGCAGGTCACAACAGAGGCCGGTGACAACTCTACTCTAAATGACGTCACCTGGACGGAAACTGAAGCCGGTGAAAGAGATATTACAGACTCAGCTTCTCGAGAACAAATAAAGTCAATGGAAGATGAACCAGATATAGTGACAAGAGAACCAGAGGAAGATTCAGAACCAGAAACATTTTCGTATGAACCCATTGCCAAGCCACCTGAAGCCAAAGAAATTAATTCCACGGCACCTCCAGCAGAAGGTAAGAAAGAGACAAGTGAATCGCTCGTGGAACAAGAAGTGTCCCTTATAGCGTCGACTTCTGAAAACGAGACCTCGGCAGATACCTCGAAACCGGAACCAAAGAAAAAGAAGATTTCCGGAGCCAGCATTCCAAAATCTATCAAAAGCTTTGCTGGCTCCCTGTTCTCCCAGCAGCCAAATAGTAAAGGGAAGAACGAGATCGGAGAAGAGAAAGAGGGAGATAAAAAGAAAAAGAAAGCCAGGGTAAGTCCGTTTAACAAAGATTATCTTTTTAGAACCTATACTAAATCAGCATCTGAAGAGGCACCAGTAGGCAAAAGTGTTCGGTCAGACAACGAAAAAGCTTCCCAGAGTACAAGTGATCAACAAGCTGTTCACACAAATAGTAACCCATTCCTAGACGACGATGGGAATCCATTTACGGATGAAGATGCAGAAGAACCAGAGCAAAAGAAGACTGAAGAGGAACCAGCATTCACAGTGACAGAGGAAGCCATACCCGACTTCCTACCCTCGCCAGACACATTCGCAAAAGGAAACATTCTCAGGGATTCTCCAGATAGCCTCGAGTACATATCAGTGATAGAATCTGATGATCAGAAATCCATTTCTAATGAATCTTCTCCTGGATTGGGAACCTCGTTCGTGGAAGAGGGAGGCTTGAGATTAAGAAAAGACGCGCTGCTCGCCATAAAGTCTATGGAAAACGACGACGCATCAACACATTACTACAGTTTCCTCAGCGCCACAGACGACTATCAGACACCCACAAGAGAAATGGAGGAGAGGGAGCAAACACCTACTCAACAAGTACTTCAGGGCGCCTCTCTACCCGATGATGATCCCCAAATTTTGCAAACTCTCCAGACTGTACCCACCCACAAGCCGACACCGGAAGTTGAAGTAAAAGAAGTTGTAAATAACGATGTACACAAGGCGGGTAACTGTGTGCTCGCCGAACCTCAACAGATTATTAAGACTGGAAAATCTATAATAACGGAGGGAGACGTCGGCTACGCTAAAGTGAACAAATCTCAAAAGCGAAACAAAGACGATAGGTATAACATGAATACTGAAAGCAGAGAGACACGCACACCACCAAATGAATCCAGTTCTTCACAATTATCTTCTGTTCCTTCCCAGTCATCAGTAACTTCCAGATCAGTAGCAGCTCCATCAAGTCACGTAGCACCCCAGAGTAATAACTCAATTCCTCCAGAGGTTCCAAAATTACATCTGGAACGTATTCATTCGATGGACAACCAAGTGCCTCCCAAGCCCAGCCCGAGAAGCAAAAAAGGAAGATATGGGTACTCAACAGGCACTGCCACCCTCACCACAACAACTTCTCCTCTTGCAACAAAACCTAACACTGAGACCCCAGTTGTAAGTGGAAATGCCGAAATTAACAAAAATTATATTAAAAGTACACCAGTGAAACCCATTGAAAGCACGCAGATGGCCACCTTCCCCAGACGGAAAGCTCCAAGTAAGAGAGTTCATGTGGTAGAGACGGAGAGATTTTCTTCAGATTCTGGGTATGCAGGACCCGGGAGTAACTACTACGGAGGAAATGACTCGGAGCCCATTTATTGGGAGATCAGCGAGACAAAGGGGGCTCCACCAAGGCCCAGTCCTCGTACCAAGAAGGGACAAAGAACACCAAGTGATACTTCCTTACGTCAAACCGTAACCCCTTCTCCACCTTCCCTCACTGACACCCCCTCACACACCACCTCTCTAGAGTCTCAACCAATTCCTGAGTGGATCAACAAGAGAGCGCCCATACCGAGCCCACGTAACAAAAAGCAGAATTCCCTTCAGTCCCTGCCTACAGTGGTACCGAGTGACGACACCATGGAGTCAGTAAAAAAAAAACTTCAATTGTTGTCCCACGAGCCCCTCCAAGACTCACGCATACAGCAGCCCGCAAGAACAAAGGCAGCCCAGGAGGAGCAATTCTATAGCGGTAAGGCTGCCTCCATATCTTACGGCTTCACTCCAGCTGCACGCGTCGTCCCGCCATCGCCGCCGCTGAGAGGAAGGAAAGCTTCACAGGTTTCTCTCCCGGCGGCCATGGCGGCGGACGAGTTACTTTCCTGGCAACAGAAGAGAAGATCTATACACGCGGGTGACGGTAATGGGACTAGGCCACCGTCAGTCAGGAGAGCGAGGCGTCGCACTGACCCCACCCAGGGCATGACCTTACCCTCCTTCAAGTCTGCTGTACAGGTAAGTCACACACTTGCTAAGCTTTAAACTCATAATATCAGCTGGTGTTGAAGATTCTAACTTTTGAGACTTAACAGAGGAATGTTTACAACGCGTCAAGATAAAAATAAATAATAAGATATACGGACCCAGATTGGCATATAATAAGATTTTTATTCAAAATCTTACATGTTATATAACGTGTATAACATTACAGACAAATATGAAGGAATCTGATCAAATTCTCCATTACTAAACTTCGTGTTTACGAGACGCTAGCATTAACATTCCTTCTCCCTTTATACTTCTCTCCCAACTGCCGTACACGCTTCTATAGTTACTAGTTTAAAAAAAAAGTTTCTAGTTCAATGTTTTCTTCTGTGTGGTGTGTGCTATTAGTTCGAGGCCTGGTCTCAGACAGACCATACTAAATATAATGGCGATATATATATATATATATATATATATATATATATATATATATATATATATATATATATATATATATATATATATATATATATATATATATATATACACACAATGAATTACTGATGGATTATAATAACTATTTACTAACCACAAGACTATCAACAACCCCTCAACCATAATCCCAAGACCTCTGCCTTATCAACTTACTAATTGTTCATGACTGCTAGACACACCCTCACCCGAGTCTTCTTTATTTACTTTATATACAAACTGTACTGACAAAGTTGTGGCCAATTGTCATTTAAATATTCATTCAAGACTGCATAGTCCTATAAATATAAAATTAAACGAAAAGTAAACAAAATGGACTACTATCCGCCAAATAAATATAATGCTTTTCTTCTACCAAGTTTTAATTCTATATATATATTTATATATATATATATATATATATATATATATATATATATATATATATATATATATATATATATATATATATATATATATATATATATATATATATATATATATATATACACGGCATAATAGCTACAGGATGTGCCGGGGAGGGGGAGTCTACGAAGCCTCAGAAAATGTTTATCTGATAATTTTCCCTCTATCGGTAAATATGATGAGTGAAAGGCCTACTGCCTATAATGATCCAGTTTATCATCCCTGCGAAGAGGGTGGTATCAAAATTGTCGGGTCGGCGAGTCCTTACCACACGTCGTGGTTGAGTGTGTCCATCTGGTGTACTTTAGATGCAAAATGCATCGCGCCAACAACTCTCATTGATGACAATGAAGAAGGCGTCACACCGGCATTCTTTTGTCGGTTTTTTTTTGTCATCTTTCAGAAAATCGACAAACCTTTGTTGTACACAGTCACACATGCGTTTAGAAACAACTCGTCAGTTTCCCTCATTCGACAACTGTCATCAAACAAGATGGATCCAACTGACGAAGAAAGCGCAGCAATTCTACGCCATTTTTGGTGTATGAAGAGACCTGGTGATCCCGGAGACAGCGGCGCTGCCTTATCTGGTCCACCAAGAACTCCTCGAGAGGCGTGTCCATACTTCGGAAATTATTTTATCTGTTGGCTCAGTCATGTTGTTGATAGTCCCACGTGGTCAAAATATAAACAACAAATGACCTTTTCCCACCTTTTTAAAATCACGAAATTATACATAATGAGTAATCTTGGGAAGAGTAATAATTACCTCATAATAAATGTAGCTTTATTTTTAAGTAAAAATTAGTTTATTTTTGTTTATTTATTGTAGTATCACTTATAGATCACGATTTGACTCCAGTAAGTTGTCGTACGAGTCGTCAGTGCAGACGGTCTGTACCGTTTGACAAAAAAGCCAACGACAATGCCGACGATTCATGAAAAAATCGACGAGTAATTAAAAAGTTGACAAAAGTTAACGATACTCCAACGACGAGATGTCGCGAGGAACTGAACGTGAAAGGAGGTTTCTTCATCGAGATAGTGGAACACAACTTTGAAGAGTTATATTAAAAAAAAAAAATTCTAGTTAATTGTTACACATAATCCAGTGTGTTTTATCTTGTGAATAATTTTCTTTCATTCAGTAGTAGTGTTCTTTGTTATGCCTTTGTATAACATTTTGATATATTAAATATATTTTCTGTATTGCCTGTAAATTGTCGTCATGGTTAAGAAAGATGATTAGGAAACAGTAACTCTGTCACGCCCATTTGTAGGAAAATTTGGGTCTTTGCCCCACCAAAAATATCTTAACACACTTCTGTATAAAGCATTAGGTGAAAATCGATTGTTCCACTTACAGTACATAAGAAAAATACCGTCAACAGCAATATTCGCACTTTACTGTTGATTGTGGTGCATATAAAAATATTCACCTACTTGTGTATTATGTTATAACGTTATAAGCATTTAGTAGTAGTTAACATGCGCTTACAGTAGTCGCTGAAAAGTCTCGTTAGCACATTTTTAGTTTTTCGCTTCTATAAATCCTGTTTATATAATTGAAGATATAGTATTATTCGATCAGAAATATCAATTTTTTTCCTGTTAAACGAATTAAGGTTCAGTTATCTTACAGCACACTAACATTTTATAGTATACCCTCCTACTCCGACAAACCCTTCACAGAAAACTTAGTCTCGCGCTGAAATTAAAGCACAAACTATTGTAATTGTGCTACTACCTTCTCTTCATATTGTACTGGGTTAAGAGATCGAAAATCCTTTTGTATATTTGTCATACAATCGTTGGTCATATTTATGTAAATTTTAGAGTGCGAGGTGACAAGCGCCTCTTCTTGATTTTCATAAAATAGAGTAAAATAAATGCTCCTATATTTATACGATCACAAACAATAAAACTCATTGTAAAATTTTCCAAACAAACACAAACCAAAATCCAGATGTTTGTGCACTAATTTACATATAAATAAGAATAAACTGAAAGCGATGTATCCTGCCCCTCCCTTAACCTATAGGAATATTGGATAAGGAAGTGTAGCTCTTAAATCATTATTTCTGACTGCGTTGCTATAACGAAACCGTGGCGCTACCTGATGACAGAACGATGAACCTTCCAAAGAAAACTCCTATGAATTGAGAGCAAACTATTACTTTTTAATGAGCTACATTTCTTGAGCCTCAAAGAACAGGTATTCGTGAACATCATAGAAAAATTTCTGTAATATAGTTTAATTGAACTATAATAACTGTAAAGACTATTACTAGAAAATATACTGATAGGTGTTTTATGAAACTTATAAATAAGTAACGATCGAATGGGCATTAAACGGAAATATTTAATGTTTTACTTTTTTTTCCTTGGTTCTAAAAAAAATATAATCTCTCCAGAACATAAATAGCAATTAATGTTATTATAAATTCTAACTAACTGCTAGTGTGGGAGCACCCTAACAGAGACGTCACCGACCGCCCTAAAGGGAAATGAGCCGATTAGTGATCGTCCATCGAGCCGGTGAATATGAAAAATATTTGTTGCTTATTCAGTAAAGAGGTAATATGATGTATGGATGTTATTTCAATACACAATTTCTATTCGATACAGATTTCAGCTATTCACTTCGACATCCGATTTTAAATCCGTAAATTATTCCCGAATCATTAAAAACTCTTTTATCAGCCATCATTCGCTTTGTTACCATTTTACAAAACTGCGTTCCATTGTGAAGAAAAAAATAAAAGCGAAATTATTATTCCGAAGATTCCAAGATGTAAAGCTGTAAACAAAGCGGACAGGTGGTGACAGTGGCGCCACCTTATGCCAGAACGAGTAACTAGAACGGGATTAATTGGCATCACACTATTCTTCGGGAGTTATATTTCCTTATAGGACATTTCTTGTACGTACAGTGCTGTATGGACGGAGAACCAACTTAATCACCAGTATACATCATCCAGCATTATACGGTGCACCATTTGCACCAAATTAGTGAAACATTCAAGTTACTATATACCCTTGTCCTCTCTCTTCTGGCTAGGGTGAACAGTAATCAGAGATGCAAACTAAAAGTCAATTTGCAAAGTTACACAACTATACAGCACGCATACTCCACAAACAATAATGGAGTCTACCATTAGTATGGCCGAACATAAACTCGATAAATGGTTCAAACACTCACACAGGCAGACACAAAACATATACAGTATACGTTATCACACAGGCACACACATGCATGTGCACGTTAACAAACAAACACACACACACATACATACATATATTCACTACCTTCACCTCATTTCGCCAAGATCCAACGGTTACATTTAGCCACAAACTTACAAGTCTATTTATTGTATATATTTATTGTTACAGGTTAGTCCCTCGGCTCAGTTACAGGACCCTACTTTACATAAGTTTATCATGACTCTGATGTGCTCTCCTTGAGCACAACAAAGTCAGTTTTTTGTACGCCTGCACTGTCTATGCACAATACAGTACAAGCTGAAACAAAGTGAACTTGCATAACGATTTTACTGAATAAAAATATCAATCGATCTATCAATTTATCTATCTGTTCATCAACAAAAGTATAAACTAATCTGTATTTTTTGTTTCCGTGTCATGTAACTATCTCGATATACTGTACCTGCATCAGCCTCATTCAGGACAAATTATGCAAGAAGATAAATAAATAAATTGTCCACAACACCATTTGGGGTTTTTTTTCGGAAACTTGGTACACTTTGTGGAATCTGTACCAAAAAAAAATCGGAATTGTTAGCTCAATGAGTCTCACTTGTTAAAAAAATTGCAACCCCTCTATTTTGGGAGGTCACATAAGTGCTAAAATTCAGTGTGTAATATCTCAGCAGCTAATTAACCTAGGAGAATAATTAAAATTGAATCTTTAATAGACTTTGACAGAATACAAATGCCTATCTATAAAAATTACCTAAACTTAAAAGGTAAAAAAGTTAAGATTTATATGTTTTCGGGGGTTTTGCCTCCCCACCACAGGGCATTTTTTTCCCTTCAAGTTAGAATAAGCTTCAACTTTCTATGAATCAGATATAACTTGGAAATAGTTTTGTATTTATGAGTAAAATAAGTTT